ATGTTTTTTCGAGACAGGGTTGCTCTGTGTTGCCCTGGCTGTCCTGGAACTAACTCTGTAGACCAGGCTGGCCTCGAACTCAGAAATCCTCCTGCCTCTGCTTCCCAAGTGCTGGGATTAAAGGCATGCGCCACCACTGCCCAGCAGTTTATGACATTTTAATGTGACTGTTTCAAACTCCATTTTTCTATCTGCTTTTTGGATGGAGATGGACAAGAGTGAGGTCAGGGAGAGAGGGGCTTATTCCTGACAAGGTTGGCTGCTGTGGTGGCAGGTCCCATCATCCTGCTCCCCTCTGAACTGTCTCTGTCCTTTGTGTGCATGGCAGGTGTACTGAGGGTACTTCTCCCACACCTTTGTGTGAACAGAACAAGTAACCAGGTAACTGTCTGCGTTTGCCCCAGCCCCTCCCTGCTGTGTTCTGTTTCAATAGCAGAAACTAAAGGAAACCAGGCTTCTGTGACTACCGAGTGCTGCCAATTGGCCTTTGGGAAGGAGGCTCTAGTCAGCTTGGGGGTGTGCATGTCTTGGGCTGCCAGATCCAAGACTAATGAAACTTGAGAAGATATTGGTGTTAAAGGCCACAGCCTAGGCAAAGCTTGCAACTGAAAGCCAAAAATAAGTAGCCCTGTAAGATACAAAGTGGCAATGGGCAGGGTTGGTGGTGTGGAGGCAGGCATTAAGAAGCCCTTAGGGACATGCTGCCCAGGGTGGCGTCCTTGCTGTGGAGATATGCAGACTATTTTCAGCTGGTTGGTTCTCAGATGCCTAGCTGCCATGGGAAGGCTGTGCACTGGCTTCCTCCTGTGCCCTTGTGCCGAAACTGGCAGCGAAATTCAAGCTGGGTTATTACCTCATCGACTTTCCCCTCTCTGCCCCGGGGGAGAGTCTAGTGTGGAAAGCAGCAGAAGCTTTTCCAACACAAATAAACCATCATCTCGGGGAGTGGCCATGATGCTAAAGATGAGGATAGGGGTTTCACTGGGGATGTATGACTTCTCCGGGCTCAAGACCCAGCCCCCATCAGGGATGCAGGCCAATCTGAGGCCTGAAAGATGGAGAGGTCCTCTGAAAATCAGATTTGGTGACTATTCACATAATGTCTCTAATTCACAAGAGCAGTGCTGCTCTCTCCTGACTCCTGTATGTTTGTGGCAGTTGCTGGGAAAGATAAGTCCCTAGACCAGAGCTCAGGCTTCGAGGAGCATGGTGGGTAATCTCCCAGATGCCTTGGTATTCTTGAGCCCAGATTCATTTTTGAGACTTACCTAAACAAATTCGTAGATTACTACAAAGAACAATAATACATGGAAACATGAGACTGGCCGCAATGTGTGTTATAGGAGCACTTTCTCCATTAGTGGGGCCAGAAAGTCCAACCATCCCCCCATTGTGGGCATTCATGCTGCTATGAGCACGTCCTAAGATTGGGCAAGATGTTGAATGCAAAGCAAAATGTTCTCTGTACAGGGCCTCTGAGAGACTATCTTGACTAGCAATTATTATAAGATGATTATAAGATCATCAGCTGATTACATGTGCAATTACAGGTAAATAACTACAGATATAATTCATGTATAGTGTTTGCACGTTTTAAAAAGCAATGTAACTCACATTGTACCATTTGCTTTCCACAACAGCCCTGGCAGTGTCAGAGCATCTTTAAACTTATTCATGAGCACACTGAGGTCAAAGCGATGGGCCAGAACCGAGGATCAAAACTTCCAATCCTGGGCTAGTTCTGTGATTCTATTCCACCTATGGCTTGAGCCTTGCCAAAACCACGTACTCGTCAAAGGGCTATTCATTTGTTTTTTCATGTGGTTCATGGATATTTGCTAAATTTCAGGCACTGTTCTGTTTCTTGGGTGGAGCAGAGAGAAGCACAAAGCACCGCACTCTTCTGTCTCTGGATGGGGAAGCCGGGCAGTTTGGGCTTGGTAACTTATTTATTTCTGCCTTGGCCGTGTTTTCCAAACCTGTTTGGACCCAGTGTCCTGAGATGACGATTTGCACGCTTGCTGCAGCTGGGTTGACCATACAGCCCAATGTGGCTGGAACAGCTCCAAGTTAATCATTTTGGTGTGTCATTAGAATTATTAATTATACTTGTGTGTGTGTGTGTGTGTGTGTGTGTGTGTGTGTGTGTGTGCTTAAAAGTATCCTGGCTTGGGTGATAAATCACATGATCATCTTCTGGGGCACACACAGCAAGGCTGCGATTCCCATCTGAGAGCTGTGCACAAGAGAGAAACTCCAGAAGCCAAAGGTGCATGCTGAGATTAAGGACCCAAGACAAGGTGCATCTAGAAAGCAGATCTTAATTGAAAAACCACTCTAATTACACAGTACACAGAAAGTACCACGAGGGAAGCTTTCCAGAAGCAGAGCTCAACAAATAATCATCCGTGCTTTAATGTTGCCAGACTTCCTTGCAGAGCAGATTGGGTCATGTGACTAGTCGGCTCCTTTCAGTGACCGAAGTGAGGTACCACTTCTAGGCCAAGGCAGGATCTGCTGTCTGCTGCTGCTGAGATGACTTCTGTTGTCAAGGCAGCAGCACCTGGAGACTGAGCCACTCCCTGGGGAAAAGCCCTCTCCAGCCTGCATGGACTTTGTGTGAGAGAGAAGTCGATGTTGGTGTGTGCTGTCCACAGGCCTCCCTTGCCGCTGTTACAGTTCGTTGTCTTAATACTGAAATGAGAACTGTTTCACTTGTTCTGATTAATAAAAAGTCTGTGTGCTCCTTCTAGTAATAAAAACACACCGGCCTCCTGTGCTCTGTCCTCTGAGTGAGTTCTTTTATTTCAGTGTTTTTAAGGTGGTCCTGGATCCACAGGCTCACATGCCCCCTACTTTCTTGGCACTATCTGGATGATGTACCTTAAGCCCCCAGAGAAGTTTCGAGATGCCAGAGGTATGGACTTTGATGGACATCACCTTAGATGTTTAGCAGCCTGCAAAGTAAAATTCCAATTTTCCTACAGGAGTTGTTTACCTGTGTCCCATAGAGGGCTTCAATTTCCCACGTAGTACAAAGTTTCTAAGGATGTGGGTTAAGCCCATTTATGACCTATAAAATCAGTTGTAAAAGAGGAAACTGGCATTTAAAAAGTTAAGTAGTGTAGAAAACAATCAGTGTATGTGAGGCAAGAGTATGCACCATTCATAAAACTTAAGTGGGGATGCTTACTGGGTGTCACGTGACTACATCCCCTGCTGGGCAGAGTGGATCAGCAGTGATCCACAGGTGCCTGTGTCAGGTCTTGTCTCTGTAGAGAGAGGACTGATGGAATCAGGCACACAGAGTGTGACATACAAGCACTTCCAGGAGGCAACCTGGAAACTAACGTTGAGAACCAACTGGTGGGTGAGTTGCATGACCGGGGAGGAAATCAACCAGGGCAGTTTTCTGGATGGTAGCTGCTCAGCCCACCATCTATCTCTGTCACCCAGAGTTGAGCTGGGTTCCCCTGGAGCTGACTTTTGCAGAAGTTACAGTTTCAGTCCCCTTTGCCTGGTAGGTAGGTACACTCATGGTAAAGTCTGCATTAAGGAGAGGGGACTTGAGTTCCTTCAAGACTGAGCTGTAATGCCCTGGCCTAGGAATAGACTTTGGTGGTGTGTAGTATGTGTACTTTTAATCAAGGCAGTGGAGAGGAAGACACAAACACATCATGGGAGTCAAAGGAAGTGATTGAGCAGGGCAGCCTGGGACGTAAAGCCTTCTTCTACCTCTTGGTGGCCAGCTGGGCTGCTGGCCCTAGCACAAGGTGTCGATTTGTGCATGGGTGGGGCTGCTGATATGGGGGCAGTTTATATTGCCTTTTTGGTGGGGTAGGAAGGAGGAAGTAGGGGAGAGGGGTCTGTTGGAACTTAGAAGGTTGGAGGACGGACAGCTTCCAAGAGCATCACCAAAGATCCAGGTGAGACTAGTGATGTAAATGCCCTTGCAAAGTGCCACTTAATTTAATGAAGTCTTACTAACCACTCCCAACACATCCCTCCTTAACATTCTCAGAATGTTAGAGAAAATGAAAACTGGGATAGCATACAAAGTTGGAATTAAATGACTACAGCGTGCTTACAGTTGAATGTATCTGTTGTTAATCATGTCTGAGACCTCGGGGCCTGTTGCTGTAACTTCTTTCTGTGACAATGAGCTTTATGAGGCTCTGAGGAGTCTAGGAGGGAGAGGAGGACCTACTGCCCACCCAGAGTGCTGAAGAGACTTGTGCTCTTCTGGGCTCTGCAGTCAGTCGCTGGCCCCTGGGTTAGGGTGGTTTTCGCAGGAGACATCTGGATCTGTGCTGCTTTCAGGCAGACTACAGGGAGATAACAGCTAATCAGACTGTAACACACATTATAGGCACCCTTTCTGGACTGAAGAAATAAATAAATAACAAAACCCAAACGAGATAAATACATATCCAAATTCATACATACACAAGTATATATGAACACACTTTAAAAAAAAAACAAGTCAAGTGTGTAACAAAAAGCAAGACCATCAGAGCTGCCTATAACTGCATTCGGGCAATGATGTCAAGTCAGGGTGGGGACCTGGTAAACCCAGCTCTGGTTCCCCACTGCCTAACCCTGTTCTCACTCGCCTCGTCCAGTCCCTCCTCTGCTGTTTGTGTTTTGCTCTGTAACTGGCACATGGTATTTAGGTTGAATGAAGACATTTATTTGTAAAACCAATTCCTGACACAGAAGAGACTGATTGGCAGGATTAAAGGGGTGGTCGCTCAGAGGGCCACATGCACACCACAGTGAAATCCGGGGAACCAGACAGACAGCGCTGCCGCCCGGCCCCCCACGTGACTTCCGATCAGCCAACAGAAGAGCAGAGTCCTTTCCGCTGGAGGACACAGATGCACGGAGATGTCCTGTGAGAAGGCAATTTGGTCTGACCTCCACCATGGAGTGGTAGGGAACAGGGAACCACCTTTCTATCACCCATGGCTTGTTTGCTTCCTAAAGACCCGCTGAAGGTCTCAGTGGTCCTTCACCTGCCAGCAGGAGGGCAGCAGCGTACACCATCCTGGCCCTCTCACATGCCCATCCTTATGCTCTGTATGATCTGGAAGATAGCTGGAAGAGGAAAGAAAACAGGCAGCTCAGAAACCAGACAGCTAACGCTGGAAACCCAATCCTCCCAGCAGCCTGCTTCTGCTGACCCTGCCCCTCGCTGGCTGGCTCAGAGCTGATTAGATACTTCCTAGATGCGTTAACAAGGGGTCAGTGAATTTCTTTCAAAGAGACAGCCTGGCTCTGGCTGTTGATGGATGCCTCTGGGATTAATAGATAACTTCTGCTAATTCCACCAGGAGCTGCAGCCAGAAATCCCTGAGGCATGGAAGATACCCTTGGCCTCCTTCCCCATCTACGTTCTGGGGCTGCTGGGGAGAGAGATGTGGGCCTTCGTGCAGAAACTCATGCATTAAGCAGTTCAGTGAGTCTGCCTTTTCAAAATGGCCGTGACCTGTAATACAGCCAGTTCCGAGGGGGAGGGCAGGCCAGGTGTTCTGAGCTCACACACAAGGCTGGTCTGTGCTGCCCATGATCTGGAGCGCATCTGTCTTCCAGCTTCCTTGTGACACTGAAGCCCACTGTCTCTCAGCATGGGCAAAACTGACAAGCATGGGCTTCCCCCTTTCATTAGCTGAGCTGTTGGTATGTGGAGCAGAGTGGGAGCACGAAGCTCAGAGAGTTTCTGGGCACCTGGCATATTTGGGGAAAACTGGTTAAGTAACACCTAGCCTGATTTTGGCTGTTATTTGCCTTCGGGAAAAGGTGTGTGTGTGTGTGTGTGTGTGTGTGTAAAGTTCTGTTCTGCTCCTTTTGCTTTTTAAAAACACCTTCCCCAGTGATCAGTGGCTTTTAATGCTGATGAGGATAATGATAAACTGAAGAGAAACGGCAGGCACTTGAATATGATTTATTTTGAGTTTTTAAAGGGAGGCTGGGCATCATCTCATTAATCAGTGTATAAAAACAGAATAAACATGGAACTGTCAAGACTCATTCCCTCTTTGTACAAAGTCATCCCAGAAAATACCCAGGAAGCTCCACTTTCTAAGGGACCACTTGAAAGCAGGGCTCTCAGGAACACCTAGAAAAGGACTCATCTGGGTGCTATCAGCTCAGGGGACTAGGCACCCTGAGGCTGAATAGCTTTTATCCGAATGCTGGAGACTGGAGTGTTGAAGATTTCAGTTCTCTTTTTGATTTCTGGAATATTTGCATATCCAATGAGATTTCTTAGGAAGGGGCCCCAAGCCTCAACATGAAATTCATGTATGTTTCACATACACCTTAGAGCCTGAAGGTAACATTGTACAACAGTTTTATTAATTGTGTGCACGAAGCAAAGCTTCATGACCTTGAATTTTCCACCTTTGGCGTCAGCATCATCAAGGAGCTGAGACTTCGAATTTCAGATCTCAGGATTTTGCAGTAGGAACATTCAACGACGTGATGTGTACACAAAATGTACCTGGAGACAAGAAGAAATTCCAAGGGGGCCCTGGGAAATCTCCCTTGAGCGGCTGGATTTTAAGGTAAACAAAGCATCTTAAAATTTTTTTTGTGCTAGGGCGGGGGGGGGGCAGTTTTTCTCTAGAAACATGGCATATACAATATATATCATCATCTTCCTGAACTGGAAAAACTAAGCATGACGGGAACAGTATCTCTTCATGAATACCCAGTGAGTATACATACATATCACAATGAGAAACAAGAGGTAACAATCCTTTGTGGTGGTATCCTTAGGAGGATACAATGTTTGACCACCTGCATGTCTCCTTCCAGTCTCTTCTCATTTTGTCTCCGGCCTGCTGCAGTGGGACACATCCTCGGCATTACTGCCTCACGTGCAGTAACTTTGCTGCTGTGGATTGTATACTTAGGATTGTATAGATAGCAACTTAACTATTTAATTCTGGCTCTGCTCACAGGCTTTCTTGGCTAATTTTGGGACCTTGGTTGGCTCTGGGTGGGAAAGTTTCCCACCAGAACTTAAATACTTAAAACAAAACAAAACAAAACAAAAAACAAACCTGATGTTTCTGTCCTTCGCAGCAAGTCTGACAAGAAGTGGAGATTAAGCAGTCAGTGGTCTGACTCAGTAGGATTGGCACGAGGGAGCTAGATACTCAGTCACATTAGGAAAAGGACCACATGCATGTCATGTTCTGGGATGAAAGTCATTCTAATCTTGTCAAGCAAGGTGATTTTACAAAGACCAGAAGGTTACGTTACAATGGAACTGGGTTCGATCTCAGTTTGTGAGTAGACAAATAAACTAGTTTATCCCCTCTCCTGAGAAGCAAGTACCATGTTACCAAGGGATTAACTGATACAACATATGTGAAAATGCCTCATACAATGAAAATACAATGCATGTAGTCATACCTGCTGCTTACTGGAACAGCCTGGGACCAGATATGTTGCAGACTTTTTTAGTATTACTATTATTATTTTAGATTTGAGGTTCACACATACACAGTGAGATACTACAGGAATGAGACACAACTCTAAATGTGAAATTTCTGTATGTTTCATTTATACCTAGCATACACTTATCTTGAAGATGATTTCTTTAAAAGAAAACTCTGTATGTGTGCCTGCTCAGTGTGTGTGTGTGTGTGTGTATCGTGTGTGTGCTGGTGCCCTTGGAGGCTAGAAGAGGCCATCAGAACCCTGGAGCTGCAGTTACAGGTAGTTGAGCCTGATGTGGGTACTGTGAAGTAGGTTAAGGGGTTCTTAAGCACTGAGCCATCTCTCCATCCCCTGAAGATCATTTTATACAATATTTTTACTGCACCTGAATTTTGTCCATGGCCCACTCATTATATGAGATCAAATGTAGAATTTCCCACTTATGGGGTCATATTAGCACTCAGAAGCTTTTAGATTTGGGGACATTTTGGGTTTCAAATTTTCAGATTAGACCCTGAACCTGTATTACTAATCCTGTACTGACCACTGCTTGCCATTGTATACTCATGAAAGTACCACTCACATGCTCTCTGCATCATGGAAAAGCAGAAACTTTAGAAAATTACAGTTCTAAGTTCTACTTTCTCTGTTTGAAAAACGATGAATTCCCAGGAATAAATATGGCAACCTATGGAATAGTCTGCCTGCCCATAGTTAATACTAAAAATGTTACATTTTCCTTAATTTCATCTGAGGACCCATGGGCCATAGGTCACTGAATGGGCTGTGTCTCAGTTGATCACACTTCATAGTAAGTTAATTTGTGACTTTAGAAGTTCTAAGTCAGCTGGGCAGTGGTGGCGCACGCCTTTAATCCCAGCACTTGGGAGGCAGAGGCAGGCGGATTTCTGAGTTCCAGAGTTCGAGGCTAGCCTGGTCTACAGAGTGAGTTCCAGAACAGCCAGGGCTACACAAAGAAACCTTGTCTCGAAAAACAAAACAAACAAACAAAAAAAAAAAGAAAAGAAAAGAAGTTCTAAGTCAGGATCAAACTATTAAATTTTTTCCCCCAGAACTATTAGTCTAAGGAATCTTAGATGAAATTGGTAAGCCTCAGAGAGGCCAAACATATATTAAAACAGTTTGCCTATTTGAATATTCTTTGATAGTCATATCTGATCCTAACTGAAGCCTTGAGTTAGCATGCCAAATATTTATAACTTTTAATTTGTCTACAGAACAACTCCCTCTTAGAGAAATGACTGAAGTCTATTTTAAGTTCACATCTGAGACAGTGGCGAGATGTGGATGTTTATTATTCCTTTTCCAGTTGTACTGATGTCTTCAAGGAGTTTTCTACATTTTATACCAATTATTTTTGCTTGAAATTCCGTGTGCCTGCCAACACTGCCCTGCAGGGTGACCCTCACTCTGAATGCTGACTTCCCGTGCTGCAAACAGGAAGGGAGCCAGCAGTGAGATCAAAGGGGAGGGGAAGCGGGGAGTCTAGACCCTGACAAGTTAATAACTTAACAGTGGGCGAACAAAGCTGAGAAAACAGCCGAAGGAGAACGAGTGGGGCAGAGGGCAGGCTAGACAGGAGGGAAGAGAGAGGCCAAGACAGGGCAGTGAGGCGGGCATTCCAGGACAGCCACCAGGTCCTGGGTGGGATACAACCAGGCTCAGGCAAGTCTCTGCAGGAGCAGGGGCTTCCAAAGTGAACAGACCCTGCACCTCCGCATCTGTGTTTGGGATCTTGACCTTCAGAGAGCTGAGAGCAGTGGTTCTCACCCTTACTAACGGTGCGACCCTTTAATACAGTTTTATGTTGTGGTGAGCCTCAAGCATAAATTTTCATAACTGTAATTTTGCTACTGTTGTGAATTGTAATGTAAAAACACATTTTCCAATGGTCTTAGGCGACCCCTGTGAAAGTCGCTGGACTCCCAAAGGGGTCATGACCCACATGTTGAGAACCATTTCTTTAAACGCTCCTGGCTCAAAGCTCTTCCCCTCCCCTCTTTCAACCAGCTCAAGCTTCAGTGGGTCAGCTGTTGTTTCCCTGCAGCTGGTCCATACCTCTAAGGAGCCGCTCAAGGCCATCCTCCTCAAGCCCCCCATCCTCCTCAAGCCCGTAGCTTCCATTTCCACCCCACCCCTCCCTCTGCCTTCTGCTCTCTCCTGTGTATCACTTAGTATAAAGATCCTCATTCCCTTCCTCCCTGCCACTGGGTGCTCCCTACTGAAGTGCTCCTCCTTTGTCCTTTGGAATGTCTTGGTCTCTTAGTTTCTTCTTTTTGATTCTTTCTTCTTAGAGAGATTTATGGGGTTGTCTTCCTCCACCACATATTGGGCTTCCGCACTGGAATTCCTCCACAGCCTTTGTGATTTGCTTCTCTTTGTTATATTCATTCTCCTGAGGTGACCTGCACTGGCCCCGGTCTCCCGCTCTGTGAGCTGTGGGTCTCCACTGTCTATTATCCAGCTACTATCAGCTTTGTCATTTTACCTTCACGCTGATAAATTAGTGACATTATCTTACATTACATTACATTACATTAGTGTCATCTATATGACCTTCTGACTGGCGGTGACCTATGTACTCTATGTGGGGATCTTGGGGAATATGTTCTTTTCTCTGTTGCCCCAGACACCCTCCTAGTTCTGGTTGCCACCATCTTTCCTGAACTCTGCAATGACTCCCAAATGCTCTACTCTGGCTCTTTGATCCCTTTTCTGCAAGGCGCTCAGATTTAGCCTTTAAATAGAAGCAGACAGTATGGGATTACCCGCTGTGTAAAGCAAACCAGAAATGACTTCTTGCTAACTTCTCAATAGGACTTCCACGTCCTGCAGATTCTGGCTCCTGCCTGCCCGTCCAGTCACTGGGCAGATTCCTTCCTTTGCACAGGAACTCAAGATTTCCAAAACTCCCTGGCTCGGCCACAAAGCTTAGCCCAGGCTATTCTACCTGAAATCTGTGCCGTCTCCTGCTACCTGCCTACTTTCTCCATAAAATCAAAACATAATTCCTCCAGAGAGAATGTCTTTGAGACCTTGGAGCAAACAATCTTAAACATGAGTGTATGACATACTCTCCTAGAAAGAATGTTGTAACATTCTTTCATGGATACTAGAAAAAAGTCAAATACCAAAACAAGCAATTGAAAATGAAAACCAAAAAAAAAAAAAAAAACCAACCCATCCCACCCCATCGATAAGTCAGTGGATGAACCAGTTCTTAAACCTTTCAAAAAGTGATCAACATCCTTAGTCATTAAAGCAATGCAAATCAAAACTGCTTTGAGAGTCTGTCTCAATCCAGTCAGAATGGATATCATCAAGGGAAAAAACCAAAATCAAAATAAAACAAAACACCACTGACATCAAACACTGCAAATGCTGTTGAGGATGTGGGGAAAGAAAAAATAAATCCTTTTCGGTGCAGGTGAAAATATAAATTGGTTGGGGGCACATGACGTCAACACACCCCAGAGGTGCCAGCGGATCCATGTTAACAGTTCATTATTCGAGACAGCTAAGAAATGGACCCAGCAACTATGAAAATGCTTGAACCCCTGGGGTGCGTTTCATAGGAAAGAGACAGAAACTGGGACTCTGCTCCAATAGGAGGCTCAAGGCCACTTTTATTGTAGAGAAATACTTAATGATAAGAGAGATCAAGAGAGTTGCCAAGAAGAGATCAAAGCAGGCCACTTCAATATCCTTTAGGCAGATAAACTAACTATAGAAATCAAGCTTTATTTTTTATTAAGAAAAAGATGAAGAAAAGCTGGTTAAGGAAAAGTATGGGTCCCCTGCAAGACAAGCGGAAATGTCAGGAGACAAGGCAGAGCAAAGCTGACCCAGACCCAGTAAGCTCTTGGAGGGAGAAACACAAAGACACGAGCGAGGTGCCATTTTCCACAGGCTGATCCAGAGAAGAAAGATGAAAGAGATGCCAGAGATAGGTTAGGGAAGAAAGATGTCAAAATGCAAGTGTTGTTAACATAGACTGGGATGGCCTTCCAGAAAGAGATCCTACTCAGGGGCACATGAGAAGAGTGCCACAAGTCACCTTGTGAGAGTCGATGGCTGCTGAGATGTCTCCTCCAGACCGTCTGTCTTGGTCCTCTGGGGCTGTCCGGTTCTCATGCACCTCATGATGGTCTCTGGGATGACTTTCTCTGGGAGCAGTTTCCAGAATGTTCTGGCAGTCTCCAGGAAAAGCCAATATCTATGTGGTCAACCTGCAAACATCGGGGATTTAAGTCTATCCTACAGCAAGTTTCCAGGAAAGGAGAGGAGTGGGAACACTGGTGAACCAATGAAAGAGCATCCTGTGGTTGGGGAACCAATGAAAGAGCAGCTTGTGGTTGGGGAACTATCTCTGCATTTGGAGGCAGATGGTTAGACATCTGGGATATTTAGAAAACAGTTTTCTGCCAGCAGAATCCAGAGGATGGTCTAACTCTCTTCAATGTAGTCATATGCAAGGTCTAAAGTTAGCAAACTTTTGCTCCACAGGACTTTTAGGAAAAGTAATGTAACAGGGACTGTGGGACAACAGAAAGCATATGGGGTTTGAAGTCCCAGAGTCCAGAATGCTAACCTTTAGACCACAGAACCGCGTGGGTTTGGAGTCCGGAAAAGCTAGGTTTGGGAACTACGTATCTCAATTTTTAGATATGAAATTCTGGTTGATTTTCTCTATGTGTGGCAATTTTATGATCTGGGGAAAGGGTGTCGCAGCCTCCTCGTTGGGGGCTGTGTAGTTAGGAAAGAAAAATGCACAGACCCGGCATTACAATGAGTCCTCAGTAAACAGTAAGTGAAATAGTAGGAACAAATCTTGATCTCACATTGCGACTAGATTAAAACCCGTTCCTTTTAGAGGCAGAGACTGGGTTTTCTCTGCCCTCAGATCTCCCTCGTTAGATGCAGCCGGTCAAGATGAGGCAGGTTGTTTGGTAGCTTAGAGCTTCCTTCCCTCACCACAGATGACTGTACCAAAATGAAGCAGGGTGGGAGGGAGGCCGTATGAAGAAGAGCCAGAGGCATCATTACAGTAAGAAGAACGTAAAGCCGTCACCATGCTGCCACTGAGCAGTTTATACGTTAAGTGTCAACCCTTAGAAGGAACTTTTGGGAGGGTTGTGAGTTCAGAACCACTCCACCCTCTTTAACAAACTGAGACTTGAGGTATACGGTGGGCATCAGTAACTTGGAAGGCCAGCTGGGAAGTAAGTGGCTGGACCAGGTTTCAGCAGAGGCTGGGTTTGGTGTTACAACTCTTAGTAACTGAGTTAACTCTGTCCTCGTAGTGGGTTACAGCCGACACACTCTGCAAGCAGCAGCAGCAGACTTTCTTAGCTGTTGCAAAAGGTCCTATTTTGGTGTCTGAGCCTTGTGCTCAAAGACATGTCACTACAATGCTGATGACCACATGAGTGTCACACAGGGAGCACAGGGCAGGAGATACTAAGGGGAGAAGTTGTTTGTCCTTCCACGTGTTTCTGCCACACTCATGACTCTGTTTTTTTTCCCCTCCCCCGTATCATCCTGAACATAAAAGGCCAGCCTTAAGGAAGGCCAGGGTGCAGCCCTACTAGAAATGGATGTCTACCAGGGCATCCACTCAAGGACAGAGGTGGACTATCTGACACTTGAGACTGGGCATGGGGGAAGAGTTTAGGCCCTGCCAAGAACATCCCAGAGAATCACTTCTCTCCAGTTCTAAACAAGTTGTCCTGAAAAAGGACCTGCCTGTGATATGCTATCTCTGTTCCCCACCCCCAACTCCTGCAGGCAGAGTCCCTGGAGAGTCCAGGAGAAAAGTGCAGGCAGTCAAGTGACAAACAAATGCACTGTCCCCACCCAGAATCAGGGGAGCTGGCTCTACAGTGCCTAATAAACAGAGCAGCTTCTGTGCTCAAAGGCTGTGACTCTAGTGAGAAGCCAGATCCAATTTACTATTTGGTGAGGAAAGATGGCTGTTGCTTGCTACAGATAGGAAAATCAGAATATCTAGCAACACAGGGCAATAGGCCTACACATACACACACACACACAGATAAATACACAGACACATACGAACACACACAAAGATAGACCACAGTGATACATATAAATATACAGATAAAGATACATAGACACAGATAGATGTACATGCATACAGATATGCACAGGTACATACACACAATGGTATACATACGCATTCAAACACATACACACGTGTACATACATATACACAACACATAGAGACACATATGCAGACACCTTCCTCAACATACACCCTGCCCCCTCCACATACACAGAAACACATCTTAGACACATGCACACAGACATAGACACAGGCACACAACACACGTGACTGAACATTCATTCACAAACACATAGAAACTTAAATGTATACATCTGTGCATATATATGTATACACATACATATTGCAAAATACATATGAATGCACAAACACATATACTGACACAAACCCATGGAAACACAGAAATTCACAAATAGACACAGCCATATATGTAGAGCTACAATTCAATAAACACATACATATGTAAACACATGGACACAGAAACACATGTATATATAAATATATACATATAGAAATCTATACATCTATACATAAACAAATGGGTATAGAAATCTACAAAAACAGAATCTACATGTATCAACACATGTAGAAACCTACACATCGCCTAACATACATGTATCTAAACACATACAGAAACCATAGCAACCACATCACCACTTCAATTAAAGAGTTGCTCTTTAATTTATCAAGTTTTTAGCGGAAGCCCTCAGTCTTCCAAAGGAAAAGGGCTGAAAAGCACTCACCTAGGGTTTTGTTCTCAGAAACCATTGTGATTATAAAGTACACGCTCACTGGAAAATTATCCAACACAGAAAATGATAGAGGAAATGACGGTCACTGGGTAATCCTATCTATCCACTACACGTTCCCTTTGATGCTCATGGGTAATGCCCAGGCTTTGGAAACCCTTAAATCTCTCAATAAGGAAATGAATATTAAGGTTTGACAGAGAGGAGAAATAAAATTGAAATTAGGAATGCACAAGGGAAGACTAGCCTGGGAAGAAACTGGGGTGTTGACTGGCATTTAAGAGGTTCTGGCCGAGAAGCAAAGGATGCTGGGGACGAAACGGCTCCACTGATCCCAGCTGAAGTTGGAACAGGATCCAGCTGAGGATGGAACAGGACACATCTTTGCCACAAGGAGAACATCTCAGATTGCTGCTCTTTGCCACTGTACAGTATCATAGCCTGGGCTCAGGAGAGATGAACAGCACACTGTAAGACGACCGGAAGTATACGCATGCTAAGTCTAAATTTAAAAACCTGCCCAGATAGCATATTAAGAGGAGAGCAAATGTTTAGGAGGCATTTGGACAAGGAGGAAAGTGGGAAATATTGAACACAGTTGTTCTTTGAATACCATAAAAAGTTTAGTCCAAGGATTACAAAGAAGAGCTTTTGGCTCTGGTGACCATACCGTGTTGGTGGCAGACATCACTAATCAATTGCTACCTACTATCTAATGATTGGGGCCGGGGCTGGGCGTATAGCCCAATGGTAGTGTTTTCCCTAAACATGTGTAGAGGCCCTGGCTCAGTCTCCAGCATTACAAATGTAAAAACACCAACCAAAGAGGAAGAGGAGGAAGCTAGGAATTATAGTTTGATGCACAAATAGTCACAAGGAAATCCATCAGTGGTCTGGGGAATAGCATCAAGTCTGCAAGTCTTCAAGACGGCAAGAAGCAGAGGAGATAGCAGCTGGAGTATTTGTGTGACAGTATCTCTGCAGGGAACAGTCACGGAGTGACATTCTGGACAATGCTTGTCTCTGAGTCTTGAGATAAAAAACAAGCAGTCCTCCAACATGAAGGTCTGGAAAGCAGAGACTGACTGTTGCAGGAGATGCTTATCAGTAAAGAGGCCCCATTGCCTGAAGGAGAAGTTAAAAGAGGGACAAAGGCGCGGGGGGTGGGGGGGTGAGGGAGGGGGACAACCTCCCACAGGACACTTGAATTCCATAGGCTTCAATATGGGTCTGTATCTGGAGAGATTAAGCAGAGAGAAACAAATACAGCCAGTTCAGCAGGCTCAAGGACTTCCAAATCCCAGGCTAAGAGCAGGTATTTGATAGATAAATAAGTTTTACATTTCAGATATAATTTATATAGCATTAATAAAAATAAAGCAGCTACTGAATTAAACAAAATGTAACAAAGCAAGAAATGGTCCAGAGATGTCCCTGCTGGGCAACTGTAGTGTCAAAAGGTCACCCGAGTCCCACTGTTTTGAATCTCACATGGAAAACTACACAAAATGGGAGTGTATTAGCATTACTTTAAGGAAATGAAACACAGCGTGTTTTAGGCTCAATCTGAAGTATAAACCACTATTCTCTGAGGTTGGTTCGCACGGCGGTGCTTCCTTTCTCTTGGGTGGGGATGGTACTTATGTTTTATCATACAGGGAAACAGTGTTAGCCCTGAGAACAGCTCTCATTCATCCTCGGAAGCAAGAGGCAGGCAGGCAGGCACGCTGGCTGACGGTTTTCTGATAGACCAAGAATGGAAAGCTGAGGCTGTGTCTGCCAATTAGATCCACAGCCTGGGAGAAGGAGACATGAGGTAAGCCCTCCAGAGCGGGACGAACGTTTTGTATGAGATGCTGGTATTTGTAATGAGTGACGACAGGTTTGGGCTTGTAATGAGTCAGATCCCCAGAACCGTTACCCATCTGTGGTAGACTGCCCCTCTACCCTTGAGTCAGAGTCTTACTACATCTCAAGACTAGCCTCAGACTCATGATCTTCCTGCCTCAGCCTCCTGGGTAAGTGTAGGAATTACAGGCAAGTACCACCATGCCCGACTCTTATCTCCATTCTCTCAGCAAGAAAAGCAACAGTGAGAGTACTAACTTGTCCGGTGTCATTCATCTAACTACCAGAGAATCCTCATGGCTGGCAGATTCGTTACTGTCCTTCGCTCCCAGGGCTCTCACTGGGTTGCTGAGAAGTCCCTTGCTCGAGGCACCACCATCTGCAGTGGAGATGCACTTAATCCACAGGTGCATTTATGCAACCTCGCCCCCTTCCTCTGCATAATTATGTGAGAAGTTCTAGCCAGCTGCCCCAGCAAAAAGCAAGAGGAGGGTTGGCGGGACTCAGATGTTGGTGACTTCAGGCAGTCCCTGGAGGTCTTCTGCTTCAT